AGCAAGTAAACTTTTGGATGCTGAGATGGGAAAATATATTAAAATAATCTGATGTATGGATTCCCAAACTGGTGCCTAGCCTCACTGTCCCTCTATACAATTTAAATTAAAAATATATAATTAAACAAAAAGCTGCCACTATGCAGAGCATCATCTTTATGTACAAAAGATTTTTAAGCCTGATAGAAGCATTCTTAGGGCAGTGAAAAGGATTGAAAAGGGGTGCTTTCTAAAGCACTTCAGCATGAATGACAGACTTGTTCTCAAAGTATTAAAGAAGCCACATCTGGAAATCATGGCACAGCTCCCCAGATGTCTCTGCACATATTGAAGTACACTTGCTTCACTGATGGTCCCAACATGCTTTGCAAATCATTATTTAATACTTTGAAGGGAACTTCACTTGCACAATGTATCTTGTGAAATGCTCCCTTTAAATACAAGTTCCTTTCGTTGCCCAATGAAGTAGCTCAGTGCTTTTAGATGTTTGCCCATCTGCCCAGAAAAAGATAACACTCAAAACTCACTGAGTGAACAATCAAGGACAGCAAACAGGAGTTTGGTCAGTGAAGTCAAGAAGATATGCTCTCCCACCCCCCATCTCTTCTATTTAGCTGTGAAACATGCAGATGGAGGAACTGCTATCTTGACCTGCAGAAGATGTGCCATGTTTGTGTTCTTTCCTGAAGACAAAAGAATACAGGAAACAAATGTTGGAAGTGCAGGCTGCTTACCCTCTTGGGGTAAGGGGTTAAGTGTGGGGGACTATGGTGTCCACATTCCAGGTAAACAGAGATGAGGATTTCTTGGATCTTTCGGAAGAAGCACTTGTGGAAGGACAACATACCAAGAAGCCATTCTGAAGATAAAAGAAAGCCAGGTGGAAGAGAACAGAGAGATGGATGAATGTGACACAAAGGACCATACTTGTTAAGAACACTTTTTCTTTGGATCTTCAGAATATGTTCCAGAGCCACCCCATATATGATGTTTCCTAGGCAGACAGCAGCTACCCAAGCCTCAAGGATTGAAGAAGAGGATTCTACAGGCTCTGCAAGAGAAGGATGCCTCGCCTCTGCCTTGGAGAGTGTAAGCAAACAGGCAGTTGTGATGAGAGACAGGTTATTGAAAAGGACCAAAGCAGCATTTTGTGGACATGATAGTCAATATAAGAGAAATATGCTACCTTCCAAGGATTCACATTTGGGATGTGACAGAACAGCTCCCAAGACTCTTTAACCCCATTGATAAACATCCCTTTCTACTGGTCCACATGGAAATAAACGACATAGACATTGTGCTGAAAACATTACAAGTGACAATGAAGCATTGAGCAAAAGGGGGGAGGAGCTGAGAGCACAAGTGACATTTTCTTTACTCCCTGTAGCTCATGAACAGAGAGGAATACTGGAAGCAAACAATGGATACCCAGATGGTGCCAATGGGAAGAATTTGGATCCTTTGTTCAAAGGACATATTTGTGATGAGAAATTCCTGGCAAAAAATGAGCTGCACTTCTTGAGAGCTGGGAATAATACATTTGGAAGAGACCTTGCAAACCTAATGCAGAGGCCTTTAAACAGAATTCTAAGGGGAAAAGAGACTCCAGAAAATAGGGTGAACCAAGTACTACAAACATGACTGCGAGTGATACACAGGATATGGAGATATCCAATAATGAGCATGTCAGTAACAGAAAGGAATACATCAAATTATATGACCTGAGGTTTTCAGCATCTGTATACATACATATACATCTGCACATCATGCATAGATGATGGGGGAACAAATAGGAAGAACTAGATTTCTTAATGCAGGAAGCTGGAAATGATTTAGTAGGCATTACTGAAACCTGGCAAGATGAGTGGTATACAAGAACCGAAAGGTACAACTTGAAAGAAATAGACCAGACAAAAAGTGGATGTGGAGTGGTACTGTATGGGAAGGAAGTGCACGCATGACAAGATCCAAGAATTTGAGCACAAGGATCCAGTTAAAAACATTTAGATAAGAATACAAAGAGGAGGAAACAACAAAGATAAGACCAAGACAGGCAGATCTGAATAATGCCCTACTGGACAAAATTGCAGAAATTTTAGGATCAGTATGGTAATAATGTGAGACTTTATTGAGGTAGGCTATTGTAACAGAATTTTGCAAGCCTGTGTTTTCCTTTCCCTCCCTTTTATACCCCAGTGAATCAGGGAAGAGCCAGTCTGAATATCTTCCTAATACTTTCCCTGTTTCCCAGGTTCAACTCATGTTTTTGTACCTGTTGTTGTAAAGGCTTCTGAATAGTTTCTCCAAGGTCATCTCCAGTGCTCCTTATTTAATACTGAATGTCAAAGCCCCTTATCCCAAACTTCAAAGTAGCAAAGATGACTGAGGCTGCATTCCCTTTACTTGTTGATATATGCCAGTCAGCAATCTTACTCCATGTGAAAAGAGATTAAAAATGGGCTTTTATCTACTCACTTTAAAGAATCATCCAAATGTTTTAAACATGTAAAAAGTTTGCTTTGATATCAGCCTGTATGCTTTCTGCTGGTTTAATACTCATTTCCAAGAACAGGGAAACTTTGATTTAGTAGATCTCAGTGAAACGTGTGAAATTATTCTTGTGCGTGTCATTTTACATAATTGCCATATTTACACAAATATAATTTCTGTCATTTGTGTAATGAAGTTGCTATGGATGATGCATTCTCTAATTTAATAGGCATTTGGGAATAACAGACACCACCTTTCCCTAACTGAATTGAGATTTCACTTGCATTTACTTCTAAATTATTACAGACTTTGATGGATCTGTATTAATCATGTACATACATGTTTTGGATAAATTGAATTTTAGTTATAGACACTATCTGGATCCTTTTCTGAATGAGAACAAAAATCCCTATATTCTAGATGTCATTGATAATGTGATGAAATACAAACTAAAAGACCTCAAACATTATATTTAGTTTATTATAAAAGTTTGGTGTTGTGCTCTCCTGCAGTTGAAGAAAGCCAAAAACATTAATGAACATCTGAGTAACTGGTGTTAACATGCAGGTAGTCCTCGCTTAACAACCGCTTGTTTAATGACAGTTCAAAGTTACAACTGCTTTGGAAAAAGTGCTTTATGATCTGTACTGGCACTTACAACCACTGCAAACCATCACACTACCTGCGGTCACGTGATCACGACTGCAACCTTTTTTATGATGGTTGTTAAGCAAATCACCATGGTTAAGCAAATCACGTGGTCATTAAGTGAATTCTGGCAAAAAAAAGTCCATTGAGGAAGCCTGGATTTGCTTAACGATGTATTTTGCTTAATGACTGCATGATTCGTTTAACAACCATTGTAATTTGCTTAACAACCATAGTAAAAATGGATGTAAAATCAGGTACAGTCACATGGTTACTTGCTTAATGCCATCCTCCGTAATGACCAATTTTCTGGCCCCTATTGTGGTCATTAAGCGAGGACTACCTGTACTGCAAATTTTCCATCTTTTAAAAACAGTATTACAATCCAACAGAATTATATGAATTACTGCAGTATAGAATAATAGTTTCATTGTAGACAATGTTAATAAACTAGCAAATCTGGATATTTCATAAAGTTTTTGACTCAAAGAATATCTAGCAAATCTGGATATTTCATAAAGTTTTTGACTCAAGAACTGTTTAAGGTTACAGAACTGTTCAATGTTATTATGAATCATGGACAAAATAAATTTAAATCTTTTTTCTAAATCAAAAGTAGTGTAATATTATTTACAAATTCTCCCAAGCACCAAGAACCCCCAATTTATCAATCCTATTTTCAAAGCAGTTTAATTTTACTGTTAATCAAAGTGGGAAAGGAGGAGTATGTTGTACCACACTTTTAAGAATGAATTAAAAATGATAAAAATTATATATACATCCTCTCCTCATTTAGCAATCGCTATTCATTTCCTGAATCAGAAGCAAAATGGTTGCCAGGCAAACCATGTGACTGAGAGATGCTGTGAAAATCATTGGTAGCTTCCATTTCATTTAGATAAAGTTCTCTTGTGAAGCAATGCCAGCTTTACTCTCTCTGGTGCATATTGTTGTCAGGCACAGAAATTTGGTCAAAAGTCTGCACATTGATCGGAAAATGATTTTTTACAGATTTATTACTGTTGTATTTGTGAATGGTCACTAAATGAGGTAGTTGTTAAATGAGAAATGACTGTGTGTGTGTGTGTGTGCATGTGAAAAATCTTGAATATTCTATTCCATTTCTGAATAATTAGATTCCCATACATTTTTATGCAACAAGCTGAGCCATTAGTACATGAGAAATTCAGAAGTACCGTATGGACCTATTATATAAAATTGTTTGATACACCTCAAAAATTATTATAATGGAAGGATTTTCTTTAACAGTTTCCATGAAAGCTTGCACACAAAAAATTGTTGATAGATGCCTTAGCAATTACACGTATCTTACATTAAAAGAATATCAAGAACTCCTTCTCTAACTAGCTTATGGCATTTGAAACTAGGCATTGTATAAACACTGCCTATTATAGTATTATACAACACTAATTTATAGTTGCTGAAAAAGTGGTTCCAAATTCAACTAATGGAAGAAGACCACGTCAATTATTGCAAGCATTTTTTTTTTCCCTATTTGAATCATAACAACTAACATCAACATCGACAGATACAGAAAACAAGTGATGAATGTTAGGAATACTGTGAACATTTATTTGCATCATTCACACAGTTCTTCAGTATACATCTAATTTACTAAGAACATACATTCCTCAGACACATGGTTAAATTTGGCTAGCTGCAGGGAGTTCACACAAATAAATTACCACAGTTTACATAAAAAAAGTTGGCCCACAAATGAATTTCAAAAAGAAGACCACAAATTAATACAAGCAGAAAATACCCTGTTGAAAATAGATTAGAAATTTAGTGCACTATTTCCATAGGCTTTGAACTTACAATATTTCTGTATATACAAAAGGTACAGTAAAATGTTAGTATTTATTGCAACAAATTAAGGATGTCATAATACATTTCATATCCCCAACCCTGATATTGGCTTCTTATTCCTTCCAAACAGCCTTCTTTTGTTGCTCCACAATTGAAATATTTTCCCACAAGGCACATACTTATCTATAAAGAAAAGGAAAAAAAAAATTAAGTAGAACCTGCTCACCCAAAATGTATTACCACCATTACATATTTTCAAATTAAATATTCACAAAAATAGGATTTTGTATTATCCCTTGTATCATAATATATTGTCATAGCACCTACCCTTTGGAACATTGTACCCCCTGAGATTTGTTTGGCTCTGACCCTGCTTGGTGTTTCATAAATCCTTGAAGACCTGGATTCACCCAGACATGGGGCCTGTAGGTTGGATGAGGCCATCATTGCAGTTTCCTTTGACATGACTATGGTTATATGGTTTGAGTATGATTGCTTTCAGGTACCATTGTTGTTTATTGTTGTTATGATTCATTCTTTGTGTACTATTGGTTTTAATCCTGTGTATACCACACAGAGTTATGACTGTGAGATGGGTGGCTATATAAGTTTATCAAACAATAAATATGTAAATAATATACCTGGCATTTATATACTTGATTCATGTGCTATCCCACATTGTCTCTCTTTAAATAATGTATTTAATTTTAAGCATTATTTCCATATCTCAGAAGTAAGAGCTTCAACAGAGTGAAGTATAGCAAAGGGAAGGGTTTCAAATTTCAACACTGCAATTCTTTTCTCTAATGCAGATTCTGATCAGAAATAGTGCCTCTGTCATTAACAGGTTTAGGGACAGATTCCATGTGATATACATGGCACCAACCACCAAATGTAAAGCTTTTACTTCAAAATACAAATGTTCTGCCTTAACTGATTTGAGTCATCTGACCACATTTTACTAAGATGCAAAACTCAAAATCCTTTGTTTTGGTCATTATTAGCCTTAAGCAACAAGATTAGTAAATTAGGACATAATTTGTTTTCTTCTGATAGACTGAATTACAAAAATTACAAAAAGTCCTTAGACTGCATTCTAAAACTTTCTCTCTTGCAGGTAGTCCTTGTTTGGCAACCACAACTGGAACTGGCAACTCCGTTGCTAAGTGAAGCAGCTAAGTGGGAAATCACGTTTTCCTTTTCCCCACTCCTCCACCCTTTGGAATGCTTGCCCTGGCTCTGGGATAGCCTGCTTGAAACTGACAAGATAAATCAGTTTCACATCTTCAGCTTTTGTTTGCCTCCTAACCACTCCTCTGCCCTTTGGAATGCTCACCCAGTACTGGGATAATTAACAAGGGAATTAATATTTGTAGTTACATCACTGGAGAGGAAGAAAATACAAGAGAGTAAGCAGGCACACAATGAGCTGTTTGTGCGGAATGCTTACGACTGCTGGAGCCACCACATTGTTTTTGATGTGCATTCCCCATTGTGTGCCTGCTTACTCTTTTGTAATCCCTTCATCTCCAATCTCTCCGCTCTGCAAGGGGGGTGGGAGAAGAAAGGTCAGGGACAGGACAATGCATACTGACTATAATAGTGATCACGTGATTGAGGGATACTGTGAAGGTCATAAATGCAGGCATTGGTCATAAAGTTATTTTTTCAGCACCTTCATAACTTTGAACCATCACTAAATGAGGCAGTTGGTAAGCGAGGACTGCCTGTATTTTCCTCTCTTGCCACCAAACCAAACCAGGATTTTTCAAATTGTTCTGTAGAATCCTAGACTTCCATGAGAACTTGATATGGTTTTATGAGAGACTAAAGATTTAAAAAATCTTCATCACTAGTTTTGCCTTTTGATTTTTTTAACAGGTTCTGCAGCCTGAAAAAAAAATTGGAAACCCATTTTAAATCAATTTCTTTTCTACTCCTTACAGCAAGAATCCAAGGACTATGATCTATTCTTTTTGAAAATCAAAACTACCAGAACAATATTCAGACTAGACAGTGGTTTACTTTGGGTACAGTATAGTTTTGAGCTTACTTTATTCATGTTACTCAGAGCTAAATGAAGGGATACAAACTGTCCAATAAAAATAGCTTATTAGAAATTGCTTTAATTGCTTTTATAGGTACTTGACAACAGCATTCAAGAGGACAAGTATATTCCTACATATTTTAACATTTATTTCATTTGTGACCTTCCAAAGTTATTTTTGTAGGTATTCTTTTTCTTGTTTACACCAAATATCTATGCTGCTTTATAAAGGTCTGCTTCTAGCACATCTCAAAGTAGTCCCAACCATTTTATATTACATCTCCTTACATAAAGGAAGGGTGCAATTTGAGATGTGCTAGAAGCAGACCTTTATTCTAGATTATTTTATTAGGATTACCTTGAGAAAAAATTTTCAGTACAATGCAGGCCTTGTTCTTAAAGTTGGTCTCTAAGGACAAGATGGGACTGCTAATGTTATACTATTCCCTCTCCTACACAGCAGCATCCCCACCCAAGCTTTTGGACTTCATCTCTGGATAGGCAGGAGAATTCTCCAGCATTATGGTGCTAGGGATTTTAACTTCCCTGGGGGAGGAGATCAGAGGAAGCATGGGAACTCATGGCCATCATGACAAGCATAGGCTTGTTCCTGGTCATCAGGGTCTTGACTACATGGGAGGTTACATAGTAAGACTTGCTTTTTATCTCAGAGCAGATACAAAGTGATCTGAGAATCAGGGATATTAACATATATCTTTGTCATGGTCAAGCTGCCCCCCACCAAAAAAAAAAAAAAGCAAAAACAAAGAAAGGTAAATCTGCAGTGAACCTTTAAATACTGGGATGCAAGGAGACAATCCACATCCCTGATTTATCAGATTATGTTTAGGTATATATACATTACATTAAAAAGAGTTACTTTTAAACATTTTTGAAAGAGTCCTCCATCTGTATTAATGGACTGACTCAAATTCAGGATGCCAGGATGTTCTTATGTCCTGGAGGAAGTCATTTGAAAAATGAGAGATTAAGGTTCCTTTATGAAACAAATGCTTCCAGAATAGAACTTTTCAAACTTTTTTCCACTGCCATTTATTTATTTTTTTAGAAACCTGACTCAGTGGTTGTTTTGTCATAATTTTCATGACACACTAATACTGGTTTGAATTTTCTTCTGCTGAAAATGTAGCCAACATATATGCTGTGGACAGGATATTTTCTTTCAAGTTTGGGGGAAAAACTAACAATTTTGTTCACATCCTTACCACATATTTATACCAATTTTTACTCTGCAGGATTTCAAAACCATGTCTACAAAGTAAAGCAGTTGACAGATGGGAAGTTCAGGGGAAAAGTGACCATACTATCACACAAGGATCCTTTGCAAACAGATTCAGTTATCAGAAAAATTCTACTCATGGCTGTGATATTATCTGTCCAGATATGAAGATTAGAAAACAATATGAGTAAAATATAGTAATAATGCAATTTTGAATCCATATAAAAGTGTTACACAAATTAAACACTCAAAACTTAACAGTAAATATTAGATTTAAAAAGATAATAACTCTGCTAATATTGGGACCATTTCTAAACTTGAAACAGTAAAATATTATCAATGTTTACACAAGGAGAGGGACCCATAAATGGTAATTAAGATTATACAATTCTGAGCAAAATTAGGAAATGAAATAGCACATGCTAGAGATAATGGGGAAAGCGAGTATTCAAGCACATTAGCTATATTCTGGAGAGATATGGAAAAGATTGTCCAATTTTGTTGAAAAAACAAAAGCCAAAATGGAGTCATAAGACTTAGCTCTCACATGAAAAATGAGCATTCTTAACAATACATTAATAAGTCTTCATTTTTACAGAATTGCATCGCCAGTAATTATTTATCAGAAATGCATTCCTCCCCAATGCAAAACCTTCTTTGAAAGGTTTTTTTTTTTTCCTTACCAGACTCACACATGTGGAAAGCATTAGACTGGAGAAAAAGCATTAGACTACAGAAAAATTCTCTATAATTTTTCCCATACTGTACAATTATGGTAGAAATTGGTTAAAAGGATCTGCAGGCTAAGAGCCCAGTTGGCTAAAAAGATTTGTAGGTGAAAAAACCATTCCATCATAAATAAAATCATAAAGCAGTCTAATTTGATATATCCCTTACATCTCTTTAATAAGAAAACTCAATCACAGGATAAATTTGCCATGAAATTTTTTAGAGTAACATCTACTGAACATCACTTGCAACTCCTACCCTGCTTCAGATATTTCATGTCAGCTTTGACTAAAAAATACTGTATCTGCAAAGCACATATTGGCTTTTAAGAAACATAGATTTTTGTTCTACTGATCAAAAATGCCTTGCCTTTTATAAAAAGCATTAATATTTTATAGTATTGACTTTTATGTACAAGACACAAGAAAGCCACTGAAACATGAATAAAAAAGCCAGAGTACCATGACAGATATTATCTATATTTCAAAACCAGACTGTTGCAAGTGAAAACCCAAGCTACAATAAACAAAATTTATCTACAGTACAAAGACAGCCTATGCTACCTGGGAGACTGCTACACTTAATATTTTGGAAATAAATTACTACCAAGAATAGAACATAAGACAGAAGGCTTATTTAATTAGACATCATTATCATTTCTGGAACACAACAGTATTAAGAAAACACAATGTGCAATATAGCACTGATAGCAAAAAGAAAAACAGCAAATACAAATATTAAAAAATAATGAAATGCCTACAATATTAAAGTGTAATAAAGTGCAATGATCAATTTGGAGTTTTTTTTATAAAGAGTGAACATTGTTATCTAATTAAAAAGCTATGGATTTTGTATTCTCATTCACATGATAGCATACATTCATTTGCTTCATTTACAATGAAGATTATGCCACACATCTTCCTTGAGAAGCTACAAAGCATGACACTGGCTCCAATCACCACAATCTTCAAAGAGGAATATTTGAAACTACGTATCAATGTACGCTTGTATAAAATATCTACTTTATCAATACAGATTTAAGATACATTCTGCTTGGTTTCTAAATGTAGCTCTACACTCTACCTTTAAAATCCCTTCTGTCCTATTATTCTACCTCCTAGAATATGAATACTAACCTTCGAGGATGATTGGCATCAAACAATGTGTTATCATCATCATCATCATCTTGTTCTAAAGGTGTCAACTCTGTATTTTCTATGTTTGTATCCAGAACACCATATTTACGTGTCTTCCTGTTTCTTCGTCTAAGTCTAAAAATACAAGTGTTACAATGTGTTAATCAGAGATTGAGGAAGACTAATAAGAGTGGAATTAGATTTGAACTTTCAGAGTCCAAAATAAAAATGAAGCATTTGAACCACACAAATCTGTCTCCATATAAATTTAAAATGCAACTAACAAAGTATGTGAGCAACAATTCTAATTTAGCTAACAATGAAATACATTAACCCCCCCTTTTAGCATTTATCCCATACAAATAAAAAAATATTAATTAAACTAATTAAAAGTTAAAGGTATTTCTATAGTGTAGAACACATAAAAATTGTATAGAGATCAAAGATATACAGATAAGTCTGAAGTTTCAAGTGCTCTACAAAGTGAGTTTTAATAGTCCTCTCTTACCATCTCCAATTATATTCCCTTAAATGTTAATCTTTTAACTTTTTTCCTCTTATCTTTATTTCAAAAGTATTAAATATGGAGGGGAAAAAGCCTACAAGCAAATTAATACCTATACAACCCATTTATATGTATTGCTCTTTGTAGTTTATACAGGCAACCAGAATGTCAAACTCAACAGTCAAGCCCTGAAGTTGAAGGGTATATAAAGATGAGAAATACTTTTTTGTGGAATGCTCAATTCTGAACTTTATCTTTGGACTGATTTGGTCACTGCAGCTGTGAATTTTGTTCTGAAGCAATTAAGCAAACAGTACTAATAATCCTGCCTTCTAAAATACCAGATATTTATCCCTTTCCCATGAAACCTACGATATACAAAGGAAACAAGGATATCTTACTTAAGGCCTGCTTCTTTTCTTTCATCCACCAGCTCTAGAAACTTTATTCTCATTGTCTACAAATGGATTTTTGCAGGTAATGCAGTATTGTATAAAAATAATATTTTACATTTAGCTGTAACCAGTGCAAAAATGATAATTCAACTGTATGTGTTCTGTGGAGGCCATGCTATTACTTTATATCACTGTTTTTCAGTGATCACAGTAGGCAATGAGTTAGTTCCGATTGTTCTTTCATTAAGAGGCCATTTCCTGCTATGTCAAATAATTCTTTTTAAAAACTCTAGTAGTAATGTGTAAAATGAAAGCAATATGTAAAATGGGAATTATACATGGAACTATCCATGAAGTTGCTTGGAGACTATACGCAACAAGCCCTAAGTATAGTGCAATAAGATCATAGTATACTCTGGTTTTGAGCATGATCCTATTTGTTTTCATGTAAAAATAAGCATGTATACTTATTGCAACCCTAACTTTAATATCTTAAAATGTTTAATCTCTTGTGTTTCTTGCATTGACTATAATGTACTTGTGACATGATTTTCACAACTGGTATGTGTTGCAGTTATTCATATAAGTATTAAAGTATTATTTATGTCTCTCATGACAATTGTATTCCTCAAGAAAGTAAGGTGTATTTGAATAACTTATAAATATTGTAGAGTCACAAAACACTTCAGCAGCTAAGGTAATATTACCAGGTAAACAGTGAGCCAATAGCAGTTCTACAGCATGAACTTTGGGTTAAAGCAATAGCTGTACCCCCTGAATGTTTCATTGGTGCTGCACTTTATTTGTCCAAAATCAGTCGCAGTAGATGTGGTTTATACTGGATTGTCAGCCCCTAATTAGAGTGTTGTCAGTGATTCTGAGAAGGGGCTGCAATGATGTTGAACAAGAAAATGAAATCCCACTGCACAAGCTGGCATCTGCCTGTGTAATGATAGATTCAACTCTTAATGCTTAAAAGGATATGGATATATCTTGGGTATTTCTGATACTGTTCAACACTTCAGAAAATAGTTATTCATATGTGCTTTTATAAATAGAATGAATTGTGAAAAATATCTGCAATTCAAGTGTACCATTTAGAAGTTTGAAAGAACCAGAACAGTAGCTTAAGCACTTATGAAACTTATGAGTTGCATCTGATGAAGTGAACTGTAGCTTACAAAAGCTTATGCTTCTGTTAGTTGGAAAAGGTGCTATCAGACTTCTTCTGATTTTCTGATAAATCTGTGCTTCATATAAACAAATACCGCAGGAGCATATTTGCCACAGTTATATGAAGAAAATTTAAACTAAGGATTTTTTTCCCTTGTGCTGCATAGCTCATTATACAGAAAATACCAAAATATAGTATAACAATTTAAAACAAATATTCACAAATTTCCCTTAAAAGCATGCCTCAATAATTTTACAGAAATGTAACTTAAATTCTACTAAGGATAGAGACTTTCTTTAACAAAATACATTCCGCTTATTTGGTATAAGATTCAATTAAACATCTATGGGTATATCTCTAGTGAAAGTTGATCTTCCCACCTCCTAATCTCTAGGGCACACCATGAAAAGGTTCCTTTGAGGATCAAGGAATTCAAAAGAATCTCCAAAATCTGAGTTAGCATCTACACTTCACTGACCCCTGAAAAAGTCTACTGGGGGTCTATGCAGAAGGAATAAGGAAACATGCTCCATGTGGATTTTATCAGGATCCATCCTTCCATTTATTTACCTACGTTTTTAGCTTCCAGTTAACACCAGGTGAGATTCACATGACTTACTGAACTTTCTACTGTTTCCCCTTTGAGAATTTTTAAGCTTTCAAAAGTCTTGCTCTATGCAGCTGGCAACCACTTGAAACTAGGCCTTTTAGTAGCCAACCAGACTTACCCAAAAGTATTATACCAACCATTTTGTTTGTATTCTTCCTTTAAAATCTCCAAGGTAAGAGCTATATTTTATTATTTTTCATTATGTTCCTAGAACTATTAATTCCACAAACTTTTTCCAAGATTGCAATAAGCATTTCAGACTTCATCTGTCAGTCAGGATTCCCTAACACCCTGAATCTCTTTTGGCATTTTATGACCCTTTCAACTAGTTTGTAGCCTCAGGTCTCAGCTGCTAAGGAATGGACAAGATATGATGCCCTTTACACCCATAAGTACATGTTTGTATCACTATTTTTCTGCCTGTGTTTATCATGTGTGTGAAGAATTCCCAGTCCATGCAGATTTCTAGCTCAATGTATCACAAGATATATAAGGTAGAAAGAGCCTGTCTTTTTTTATATCTTGTCAGGAATTCTAACCATGACTTTGGTCACTCTACACATTTATGACCTGCCAGTTTGAAGCCTTTTGGTTGCCTGAACTTTGTTTAAATGCAATCAATCTTTAGCAGGGTGAGAATAGGAGGCATTAGACATCCACTGGTCTATTAACTATATTCAGCTGGCCTTTTTTAGGTGGTGGAGGAATGTAAAACCCATACGAGGTCTTCAAATTAATCGAATGTGAGCCACAAAAATAATCTTCCACACGCACATACGGTACTCCCAGAGTACCGACCCAACTAAAAACAGGTTAAGAGAGTGAAAAAAAACAGAGGATTCTAAAATGATTCTCGAAGGTTACCGGAGCGAAAGAAAGGCCAGCCGTGGGACAAGTCACAGGGCCGAAGCAAACTACTCTGCCCTCCCCCCGCGCCCCGAAAGATTCAGGCTTAGTTACGTTCAGGTCCACCGCACACGCCGCGGTCAGAGGACAAAACGCGGGGAAGGGAGGCGTCTGCAGCCCTTCCCGGGACGGAGGAGGAAAGGCTGCGGCGCCGCTCACCGCACGGTCCGGATGACGAAGTAAACGAT